CATTGACAAAAACTGAAAGCAAAAGCTTAACCCCAGTTTATGAAAGGTTTCCAGAAACTGAAAGCCAAAGAACCAGTGGGTGTACATTGATGATAGGTTTACAGAAAAAGCATTGGTAGAAGTCACCGATGGATAACAATAGTATTATGATTTTTTTTATAAGAGCAGTTGACTTCTTGGCCATAAGTTAGGTAGGGGAACACTTCTGCATGGGTCTGTATGGTACCCCTATGCAGAAGTGTCCCCTGCTACGGAATAAACTTATTCTTTGAGTATTTATGAAATGATTACTACATAACGTCGGCATAGTCACCGATGGATCACAATAATTTTTGCCCAGAAATCGGTGCAGAACATCCTGGAGGGACATGTCTGCAGCCGCCGTGCCTCTGCCCTTGTGCTTGCGGTTGATTGATTGACACTGTGGGACAAAGTGTGGACTCAAATACGAGGCCATCTAGCCACAGCACAGACATGCTAAATCTCTCCTGACGGCCATTTCTAATTATTGTGGAAATGTACAGGTGAACTATAAATTGAAACTGACCCCGTAAAGTACTAGCAGAGCGGTGCGTTCTTGTTTGATGTTGTTCTTGACATTGAGGCTTGCCCCGACTAACTAAATATCACAAATTTATCATAAAAATAACCGTTTCAGACTTGCATTTGTTTCTTTTAGACAACATTCCTAGAACGACTTTTACAAGCGGCTGAATACGGAGCTTTTTGATTGTGAAAATATTTCTGCCATGTCAGTTTATATATAGATATAAAGTACTCAATAACAACTCAAAACGTACGAATACTGACAAAATACACATTTATTGAACGCATCAAAGGCGATGAATGTTGCTATAATTTCGACAAGACTACACGAAAATACCATTGGTACACTTTCCAGAAATGTCTTGAAACACGACTGACAGGGGTCATATACCTTAATTTCACAATGATATGATATACATTATTTTGATAATACTTTCTGTGGTCTGTTGAAAATGTGTATTACATGTTTTGAGAATCGCTGATATTTTTTTTACATTAATGTAAAAAATGACCAATTTTGGTGTATCAACAATTCTAAAATCACCCGATTACACGAGGAATCAAAAGTAATCTAAAATGAGAGACCACAAGAAAGATTATCCATATAACATTCGTGTCCATAATATCACCAGGGTCCATAATATCACCACCTTGAGAAAAAGTGTGCTTAAAGATATTTTTACTGCAACATACCCTAGGTATGTACATTTGAGGTGTGCATACCACTCCTGGTGCATACCAAAAGTATGTTGCAGTATAAATATCTTTAAGCACACTGTTTCTCAAGGTGGCGATATTATGGACCCTGGTGATATTATGGACACGGATGTTAGTAGTACATAATAGTATGTACATAAATAAATTCCATGTATATACTTCCATACCAATTACATGTATATGAAGAAATCTGTCATCAAAAACCAGTTATAACACTGCATCACCATGTGCTAAAGCATAACATCACTACAACAATGTATTTACAAATCATGTCAACTGTTTTAAGTACACTGTTACAATGATAAGAAGCTGATTTGTCTCTGACCCTTTTCTTATAACTATGCATGAAGATCTTAATACTGCACATTTGAAAGATGAATCCAAGTACTACTATAATGGTATCTCCCACAAGAATTTAATAATGTATGTATTGTATCCATAATACACCCTTAACCTCACTACACCATGTATACTTACAAAAATATCCACATATCTGTTAGTTCCACAGTAACATATTCTGTTAGAATGAACATCTCATCATGTAACCTTCTCCCTGCTGCCTAACCCCATAAACAATACAAATTTGATGCCAAAAGGCTACATTTACTTCAATCTGCAGGGATGAGGTTAAGCAACAAGATACATGTATATATAGAAAGGCTTCTTCCCTCCATACATAACAATTATCAAGTACAACATCCTTTCTGTATTGTAGTAAAGCCTATACATGTACAGGCTAGTTATATACACAATTATAATATTTATACAAAACTGAGTGCTGAAGCACTTCAGTATATATTTTATAATAACACCAGTTTGAATAATCTTGTCTATTCACCAGCAACGAATATGACCTTTCTCAAGGTCAGCAAATATGACCTTTCTCAAGGTCAACAAACATGACCTTTTTCAAGGTCAAGTTTCAAGCATTTTTAACCATTAGCTGTTGTGTATAATAATGGCACGGTCATAATGGATAAACTGTAGTATCAGTTTGTAGGAATGTCTGTTATGATCTTTTAGTATATATTTATCATATATGATGCCATTGACAACAGCAGAATCAAGGTCTTTTATCATGTTGTCTATGAATCACTCAATATTAATATTCTGCAAATCTTTGCAGAAGATTGAGTAGTTCTATCCGTATGCATGTGCACTGCAAAAGACAAATAACACAACAGCCACAATGGCGGAATGTCTGCCAGCCTCAACACAATAAGGCCACACCAATTTAATTTGTTGGTTCTCGGATTTTTTCGGAGAAAAAAACAAAAAATAAAAACAGGTCTAGGCATCCTATTGTAGCCCCAAATGCTACAATATGAGCCATTAAGTCAACAAAAAGGCTGGGTTAATATTTAAAGTATAAATTTTGAACTTTTAATCAAACCACTGCATTGATAGATGGAAAAAACTGTAACAACTAGGAAGAAAAGGAATTTCCTCAACTGTTGGGGGCAAAATATGAGCATTTTTGAGTTGATTCAGAACCAGAATCTTTTTTTTTTTTGACAAATCAGAAAAAAATGAAGAGGCGAATCCGAGAACCAACATATTAAATTGTTGTGGCCTAAGCAAGCATGCATCTCGTGTTGTTTTTAAATTCTGTCGAAAACACCAATGACTACAATAGGATACAATGCAAATACCACCAATTTTACAACATGAGAACAAAGCTCAACACCACTATTTTGGTAATATTATAATCATAATAATATGATACACACTATTGTAATACTACAGTATATGTAGAATTCTAGTAAATACATTTCTTTGCAATTCCTTCTTGGCAAATGCTGGCAAGAAACAGACTCTTGTTATCTGTAGTTATAAGTTGAAAACTTTGTTTACCAATGTTAGTTGGTTAAATCTGGCTACCGTAAACAGCCCAAACATCAATTTTCCTTGTTTTGTCCTTTCCAGGGAATCCAAGATCTTTGTGCCCACAAATTTAAAGCTTCAGGCATTTTTACATGCTGATTTTACCAACCATTGTTATATACAAAATGTATATGGCAAGTCCTTCACCAAAGCAATTTGTTATATCATGAAAGCGTTGTAGAATCAAGGCCTATATTGTAGTGTGTATTTACACATGCTTCATTCCAGTAGAATATCATTGTTCCTTTTTTTAACAACATACAGGACAAAACTTGAGTCAATACTGCATCTCAAAGGCCAACTGCGTGTTAGTCTATATTAGACTTTTTTTCCAAATTCAATTTCAAGATATACTTTTAGTCTATGAAAATCAGTACAGATAGATTTTCCTTTGGCATTATAAGTACAGTACGTGTCCTATGTGGGAGAAGTCCCACTTGGAATGTGGACGAAGTAGCAGCTGTGCAAGGCATTCACTCTCCATAATATCATCAACACTTCTACTCTCCACACAAGTTAGGCCATGTTGATTTGATTATATGGATGACATCCGCGCGCGCATGAATTTTCGGCCGTTTCCAAAAAAAAAAAGTTTTCAACCATACTGTAAATCGTACAAAACAGTTGCAAAATGAGCAAAAATATACCATAAGTTACAAAAAAATCAATAAAAACTATACCAATGTCGTAGAATGCCAAAATTGTAAAAACGAAATTGTAAAGAAATGAACTTGAAGACTAGATTATTCGCCAAACCATATTCTGTGCCATTTGCTCAACCCTCGTGACCACGTAGATTTCATAATGAAAAGAACTTTTTTTTTTTGCAAAACTTTTTTTTTATTCGCACGCGCGCATCAGTTTTGGGGCTCCCGGAGGATGTCATCCATATAATCAAATCAACATGGCCTTACAAATAAAAGGATATCTATGCCTTGCTGTAGATAAACAATGATTGGCATTTCATGAAACCAGTGAGTGTGATCTGTACACTGCTTAGAAACGAGCACTCATATTTTTAGGTTTATTTTTAATAATCAGATTTTGAATTTGTGTCCTCTATCTTATTTTATTTTTATCTTTTTTATAAACTATCTACAAGTAGCATTATGCCATTATAATGCCCACAAAAATGTACTTTAGTTTTTATACACGTAAAGGCCTTATGTATTTCACTGGTATTGGAAACCCTATTTTGGTAACACTACATGTACATGGGCATAGATACATCCTACTATACAAAAAGGGAATGATCTTCTCTTCAGTAGCAGGAACAATCTCAAGGCATCACTGGACCATTCGGCAGACTCCTTCATGTAGGGTTGTTTTACATGAAAACTCAAAACCAAGTAGAAAAAATTTCAAAAATAGGCAGAGAAAAATGGAATGAAGAACAGGTCTTTGCAGTGGAATAAAATTGAAACAAAGTTAAAAAAAAAATTCCCATCTCACCAAAGAAAGACTACTTTTAAAATTGAACCATCTTAAACTTTTTTAAGTTGATGCATTTAGATGAATTTTGTGCCTGTTTCATAGCCTCCTGTACAGACTTTCTAGCAGCCAGCATTTATTTCTACAAGTGTGGCAAACGAAAGTTATCACACTATCTCCTGTACTTACAGGAGTCATGTGCGATTTCGGTTGTTCAAAAACATCTCAGAGTTTCTACGAGTGTTGCGAATGAAAGTATCACCCTATCTCCTGTACTTGCAGTAAATATGAGTCAATGTGTGATTTTTGTTGTGCAAAACATTTCTGCTATTACACTGTTGTCTTCCATTCAGACTTTCTAGCTGTCAGCATTTGTTTCTATGATATCATGAGTGTGGCGAATGAAAGTATCACCCCATCTCCTGAGTCTGTGTGTGTGCAAAAACATTTCAGCTATATGCTGATCTCTTCCATCATCTCCTCCTAACTGTCTTTCTCTGGAATCATGGGCACAGGAATCATGTAGCATTTATTTCTACGAGTGTTGTGAATGAAAGTATAACCCTATCTCCTGTACTTACAGCAATGTGTGATTTTCGTTGTGCAAAAACATCTCTGCTATACACTGTTCTCTTCCATCCTCTCCTCCAAACTGTCTTTTTCTGGAATCATCGGCATTTTCAGGCCGGACATGTGCGATCCGTTGGTGTCGTTCTTGTGCCCGGGGTTGAAGGGGACGAGCTCTGTCCCAGTGGTGGTCGTGGTGGTGGCGGCGAAGAAAGAGTGCGAGTGCGAGCCGCGGTGCTGGCTGTACCTCCCGCCGCGGTTTCGCTCCGCCTGGAAGTTCCGCCATTTTCTCTTGACCTGGCCGATGACCTGTGACCCAGGAAGAAGTAAAAAATGGGCAGCAAGAATTTGTAATCTTTCGACGAATATTTATAACGAAACACACAACAGAAAGTTAGCTAATATGATCTGGGGAGCTTTCGAGACACACTCTGTCTCTTCGTCAACCTGGTAAAAATCTTGTCACGTCTCTTATCATGTGACAAGAGACAGGCATATACAGGCATATACTGATGTATATAAAAGAATCAGAAATAAACTAAGTTATTTTTCTTTTGATGTCTTATATTTGCTGAGCTGACCGATCCTAGATACAATGTAAAACCATATAATCAAAAACTATTAAAAAAGTATTTTTGAAAAAGAAATAAGTTTCCATTTTGAGATCTACATGCATCCTGTTTGTGTTGAGAGATCATTATCTGGTCATTTATATACGAGAGGTAGTCCAGGATCGATTTGTCAGCTTCTAAACACAATCTTGCATTTCAAAGCAATTCTCGGATAACACTTGGTAAAGGATGTAAGATTCAACATTGTTAATCTTTGCATCATGTAGAACACATAAAAACATGATATTAGATGAACTATACATAATACATTATGTACATATGACTGTGTTCAATATGTATGCAACAATGTCCAGCCACTCAAATGATAAGCAAGCAATCACACACCACACATGATTCAGACGATTATAAATGATTAAAAATTATGTTTGTGGCACAGCCGAATATTGGGGCAAACAACTGGCGAAATGATATCAGCACCCATATTTCTGACAACCCATGAAATACAAATCTCGATGACATGAAGAAATGTCATCAAGATATGAAGGCATGGGGTGCCAAATAAAATGCAAAAGTAGTAAACAAACTGAACAAACTAAGGTACACAACACCAAATGCTATGAAGACTACTAAGGAATCGAAAAAAAAATTGACAATTTCTTCAAATTCTCTGCTTTTTAATTGTTCAGGTCTCTTGGCAAATCACAGCAAATGAAAAATTATTGGTATGATTTGTACATGATTGGAGGTGGAGAAAACACTCGGGAGTGATCACTGAAATCAGGGCGGAATTTACCCTGGAAGCCAAACTCGTTTTGGGCCCTCAGCCATTCCCTTAGGAAGCCAAGAGCCCTTCGCCCGCCTGTCTAAATTACCGCTGCGGGGGAGTCTAGCCCGGGGGAGCTTGCATTTGGCAGGGCGGCATAATACTCCCCACCACAACGGTAATTTAGATCGGCGGGCAAAGGGCTTCTGGCTGCCGAAGGAAACGGTTAGCGGCCCGTAAACTTGTCTGGCACCCAGGGTAGGCGGAATTATAAGAAAACACACACACAAAACACAAGGGGGAGGGGGGCGGGGAGTGGGAGGGGGGCAGAGGCTTCCAGGATCTGAGACTTACGGACTACACCACGGCTGTGTGACGGGTGGTCTTTTCGCCAGTTGTGTTGATTCCAAAGGGGTCATTTTTGGGGTACTTCTCTAGCACATTCAGATAAAACCACTTATACAGAACGTCCATTACCTCGCCGTTGAAGAAGCAGTAGATCAAGGCCACGAACAAACCCTAGAGGGGGGGGCAACAATTGTTAGAACATTCCTTAGAATTGCATCAATGAAGGCTGGACATCCAGTTAATGAGATACAGAAGGAAACGGTTACTGTTAATTCACTTTATGTTTGCAGTAGAGAAAGTTCGCGGTCTGAGAAAAATGGACGTGTTCGCAGGATATGTTCGCGGTGATGGCAGGTGCAGCAAAAAGAAAGTTGGCAAAATATTTGTTCTTGGTGATCAATGATAAGTTCGCAGTACAGAAAAAATTGCGATCTACAGTACTCAAGCAACTGAAAACTGTCAGACGTTTCAAGTAGCATCTAGTACTTCAGTCACTGACAAAAACTAGTTAGTGATACTTGAATCTATCCAGTTGCTACAGTAACTGTTTTCTTGTATATTCCTTGGAATTAATAGTAAAAAGCATTACAAAAATGATACTCTTTTTACACAACCAAGAGGTTTATTCAATTGGTCTTTTGGTGACCGTCTGTCACCTTCCTCAGGGCAGTTTTTACTATTTCAGATTGCATTATAGGTGCAAAATGACACGGTCCATATGGGTTCAACGTTCAAGGTCAGATAGCGAGGTCAAAGCAACCAATGTGCAATGGCTATCATATCAAAATGTATGCCACAGACAACTTACTTTTCAAAAAGCATAATGAGAATTGGCTGGTGCAATAGCTCAATTGGTAGAGTGCTCACTTTTAACCGGGAGGTCGTGAGTTCAAACCCCAGCCGGGCCATACCAAAGACTTTAAAAATGGTACACACTTCTTTCTCTGCTTAGCACTCATATCAGCACATATGAGAAAGAGTGTGGGAAGGTCAAACACACAGCACTACCAGAGGACCAGCCCCCTGCTGTAGTGCATTGCACAACTGTGTGTCGCCCAAGGGCTACAGAAATGGATATGGGCACCACCCTTATGCTCTGCAATTTTTTCTTTTTTTTAGAATTGGCCACCTCAGGTGGTACCAATATGTGAAATTTGGGTTTCTGGCCCATGTACTATTGCACACCACAGGTGCCACTGTGATAAGACTGTTGTACCTGATAATTCATCAGGACGGTGGAGGCGTAGTCGTAGATGACCTCGGCGGTGGTCCCGTCAGTCGGTCTGAAGGGAACCACGACAAACTGGACCCCCAGCAGAGGCACCAGGATCAGTGTGGCCCGCACGGCTTTCCTGGTAGGGAGAAAACAAACCTTGATCATGGATATAACATTCTAGTCAGTCTAAATTCTCATTTCTGGTTGTAAATGTCATTGTAACTTCAGGCCACTTTAATTTATTTTCTTATTTCTTGGACATTTAAAAATAAAAATGAGGCTGGGAGGAAAATCTTACTCTACATGGTCCTGTCCTTGGTGCTGAAAACCAATTCCTTAAACTGTGCATGCCAATATACAGACTTTCCCTTAGACATGGTCCTGTCCTTGATTACTGAAAACGCAGTACTGAAACTGTACATGCCAATATACAGACTTCCCCTTAGACATGGTCCTGTCCTTGGTACTGAAAACGCAGTACTGAAACTGTGCATGTCAATATACAGACTTTCCCTTAGACATGGTCCTGTCCTTGGTACTGAAAACGCAGTACTGAAACTGTGCATGCCAATATACAGATTTTCTTCTCAGACATGGTCCTGTCCTTGGTACTGAAAATCCTTTTCTGAAGCTGTGCATGCCAATATACAGACTCTTCCCTCAGACATGGTTCTGTCCATGGTACTGAAAACCCAGTCCTGAAACTGTGCATGACAATATACAGACTTTCCCTCTATCAGACATGGTCCTGTCCTTGGTACTGAAAACCCATTTCTGAAACTGTGCATGCCAATATACAGACTTTCCCTCTATCAGACATGGTCCTGTCCTTGGTACTGAAAACCCAATTCTGAAACTGTACATGCCAATATACAGACTTTCCCTATATCAGACATGGTCCTGTCCTTGGTACTGAAAACCCTTTCCTCAAACTGTGTATGACAATATACAGACTTTCCCTGTATCAAACATGGTCCTGTCCTTTGCACTGAAAACGCAGTACTGAAACTGTGCAGGCCAATATACAGACTTAGACATGGTCCTGTCCTTGGTACTGAAAACCCAATTCTGAAACTGTGCAGGCCAATATACAGATTTTCCTCTCAGATATGGTCCTTTCCTTGTACTGAAAACGCAGTACTGAAACTGTGCATGCCAATATACAGACTTTCCCTATATCAGACATGGTCCTGTCCTTGGTACTGAAAATCTATTCCTGAAACTGTGCATGCCAATATACAGACTTTCCCTGTATCAGACATGGTGCTGTCCTTGGTACTGAAAATGCAGTACTGAAACTGTGCATGACAATATACAGGCATTCCCTCTATCAGACAAGGTCCTGTCCTTGGTACTGAAAACCCAATTCTGAAACTGTGCATGCCAATATACAGACTCTCCCCTCAAGACTGTTTTGGAATTTTCATGCTATTCCATGCAGTTTAGCTGATTTTTTTCAACACAATATGTACTGTACAGTATCTACCTGTAGGAGTTAGTCTCAGGAGTGTTGGTGGCTCGTAGCTTGGTGATCAGCACACGGAGGATGTTCAACAGGAAGAACAGGTTCACCTGGAAGAAAAAATGTATCATCCTCACCACAATATTCTCCCATGTAGTAAAGAGACTTTTTTACACAACCAAGAGTTTTATTCAGCCGATGTTTCGGTGACTGTCTGTCACCTTCCTCAGGGCAATTCTGACTGGTTCACATTGCGCTGCAGCACAGGTGTTGCTGCTATAGATGCATTCCCAAATGTACAATATTTACATATCTTACGTATGCCCTGAGGATGGTGACAGATGGTCACTAAAATGTCGGCTGAATAAAAGACTTGGTTGTGTAAAAAGAGTCTCTTTACTCAGGCACTTACCAACCTGATGAAACTACATGTTTTCACGGATTCTCCCATGTAAACCTCCAATTCCTGCTGGCTCCAATGCCATTTTTTGACACCTCTGACCTCCTGTCATTCTGCCTGTCAATCTTTCCCACCCATGTCCTGTCATACTACTCTGTCCAGACACAAACCCACATCTCTGCAACCTATAACATTAATTTCATTAAGTAAAAATATCAGATCTCCCTATGACAACAAATCATAAGCCACCATGGAAATGAAACACAAAAAATCCAATAGCATAATTTAATATTAAATGTATACATTAGCATTCTTCAGTGTTATCTTCTGTGAATTGACATGTTTTTAAACCAGTATATGAATCAATATCATATATGAGTAATCATGATGAACTGGTGTTTACATTATCAGTTTTTCAAAAGCGATCAATAGTTTCCACACAATCTATTATCAACATTGTCAGAATCAGATTTTCAGATTCAGATTCAGCTTTATTCATATTGGCATGACATGTTAAAAGTTCAAAAAACATGAATTGAGCCAATATTTGACAACGTTTAAAATACACAGAGTGAATCGATAAAAACTACATTTAATAAAATTAAAAAGCGATTAAAAACACTTACACTGACACTATATATTATTTCCGGAAAGAACAAGTATTTATGCATAATTTACATATAGCTAGGAAACAGTAAGTTGTAACATGGAGTTGTAAAACTTTCATTCAAATCAAGCTTTATAACATTTGTTTAGCAGATCCCTATGTTAGCATGCTGTACATGTATAGGTGTTACTTACATCTTGAGATTTATTTCTAGCTCAACTCACTCAGGATACAGAGTTCATCCATGCATAGTGACAAGCACTCCCTTTATAAAACCCAGAAGTCCAGCTTAACCAAATGTTCTTCCATTAAGGCTGCCCCCTGGCCCAAATGACGTTCTGCCGTCCTGCCAAGGGGCTTAAAGCTAAATCATCGGCTTAGGTCAACCTAATCCTCTGGAGCAGTGCTTAACCTTCTTCACAGGGTTAAGAAATACCAGCAGGTGGTATAAGAACACCCCGGGGGGCCCTAAACCCCTTATCATGAGTCATCTATTTTCTTTAGATAAATCCTGGCTCTATTGAGAGTTGGAGGAAGCCTTAGATCTATCTAAAAATACTTGGTATTAGGTAAAGTAAATTTTATGGATGACGTCCGCGAGCGCATTGATTTTGGCCTGTTCCTAGGAAAAAAACAAGAAATTCCGCTTAACTATGACCAAAGAGTCACGACAGTGCCGCAAATAGGTTTGTACGGACCAAAGCTTATTAAGCATCAAGCAAGGAAATCATGACTTCCAATTAGGAATTCAGTTTGGTACATGCTGCCACATTTGAAGAAATTTGCTGATCGCTCCATCTATCTCCCCAAAGCACAAGACGACAACTGCTGTTCCACCTGATTTATTGCTGTTTTGATGATGAATAAAAGACTTCTTGCTTGTTTTACTATGTCACCTCATTCAATTTGTGTCCTAACATTTGTCATCTCTTAGTATATTTCTAATCTAGGCCTCTTGTTTTTTAGGGCCCTTCTTGTTTTTTTTTTCGCCCTCTCGCATTAGATTTAGGGTCTCCAAAGGACGTCATCCATAAAATTTACTTGGTGTGGCCTTATCCAAGCTATTAGGATGCAGTGGTTAAGGCATTGAAAAATCAATATACATTGTACATGCTTCAGGTTTCTTCACTTGCTGTCATTTAACATGGCAGTTGATGAGAAGATAGAACTGCATATTTTTGCAGTGTTCCTAATTTGTATGTGATCCTATGATAGTTATGTTTACCTTTGCAGAAGGAAACATATTCTTTTTGCTCTGCTTCTTCTTACTCTACTTCTCCAAACAAATAGGTCAATGACCTGAACCAGACATCTGTCACCATGGTAACTAGTGTTGGGTTACATCATGTTGCAATTTTATAGCAGGGGGGATTTAGACTCCTGTCACCATATATATGAATGTGTTTGTGTAAGAATCAACAGAGCTTCCCATATGTAAACTTTAAGGTAAACATTATGCATTTGCTTTGCAAATATTACATGTACCTTTCTAGTTCTTATTGGTCTTGCAAGACACTGGGTGTTGTGTACTAATTTGACACTTGTACCACATCTGATTTTCAAGTAGTGGAAGGAATGATAGAAATGTGCAATTTCTTCTGCTCAATTCCAGCTTAAAGTTATGGAACCTTGCAGAATGAAACTTGAACATATCCTGAGGTCAAACCAAAAGCAGGCAGATCAAGTGTACTTCCATGAACTGACTGCTTGATATACAGGATTTGAATCCAGCCAGTGAACCAGACCAAACTTGAGTGTTACAGAATCGTGAACAAAATCATAAACTGAAGAGCAAAGCAAATGCATAATGATTACCTTCCCATATGGTCTGCTCTGTTAATTCTTACTCAAACACATTCAGATAAAATTATACATTTGTATATGGTGACAGGAATCTAAATATTTGCTGCTATAAAACTGCAACATGATGTAACCCAACACTAGTTACCATGGTGATAGACTACCTGGTTCAGGTCATTGACCTTTTGTGTTTGGAAAAGACAAAACTGAGCAAAAACAATATCTTTTCCTTTGGTAAACATAAATATTGTTTAAGCAATCTAAAGCTTTTGAACAGGGATGGATTTTTAACTGATGACAAGGTTACAAGCTCTATCTACAATATATTATATAATACCCGGGCCGCGATAAAGTTCGATAACGGGTTCTGGACCGGGCCGTACCGTAAAGTATGGCCCGGTCCGGAACCCGTTATCGAACGCTTCCATGGCTTCCATAAAACGATTCGAATGCGTTTCGCCCTACCTGCTTGTGCCCCTTTCGAAAATTGGAATACAGAATCCGGACGTTGGAATTGATGTTGTTGCATTTTAGGGTTTAGTGGCACCAACTTTTGGCTCATCTTGCATTGAAAGGCGTGTTTTCTTGGGTGGGTATGACATAAATAAAATACAACACGGTGTATTCCGCATCGCCCTCGGTCCCGGCCCTCCCGCGAGTCGGATCGCCCTCCGGCCTGCGGCCGTCGGGCGATCCAACCCACGGTCGGGCCGATACCTAGGGCGATACGGAATACCCCGTGTTGTATTCTATATTTATACATTGTATGTGTAACTTATACTTACCAAGAGGGCAGCAATGATTGGTCCCTGGTTGACATACAACAGCTTGGTGCTAGCATTGATCCAGCACCTGAAATAAAGGGACAGTCCATTTTTTTTATTGCTTACATTCCATTCATCCATTTCTTTTCATTAAACTGCAATACTCATTGTATTTTTTAAACATAATAGCTTTGGTCAAGCCTTCAATTCACAAGAATTTAACTTCATAAGATGTGGCCAGGCTAGGGGAACTACAGTCAAACAATGTACACTAATCCTACAAATTGATTTGCCATTAGGCCACACCAATGTAATTTCTTGGTTAACGGATTTTTCTAGAAAAATAATGGAGCGGGCGGGTGAAAAAAATAAAAAATAAAAACAGGCCTATAGGCATCCTATTATGGCCCAAAATGGTACGATAGGAGACATGAAGTCAACACACCGGGCTGGTTCAAAATTTAAACAATGAATTTTGAACTTTTAATGATACCACTGCATTGAAAGATAGAATAACTGTAACAACTAGGAAGAAAAGGACTGTTTTCAAATGTTAAGGGCAAAATATGAGCATTTTGCAGTTGATGCTGAATTTTCATTTTTATTTGCAAATCAGAAAAAAATGAAGCGGACGAATCCGTTAACCAAGAAATTAAATTGGTGTGGCCTTATGTGTCAATGTTTTCTAGCTTGAAGGTGACTCTTCTGTTGTTCATAGAAGATGGGTAATGTTACAGAATGATTAAACAGTGGTGATTTGATTTGCACTCATTTGTTCCTTCTCAATACCACAATTATAATCAACATTTTTATATGGCCGCTTACAACAGAATACAAAATTCAAGCTAGCAACTTACTCCTTGTCATCAGCGTAGATGCTTCTGACCACAGTGTAGATGATAGTTGGAATGGCTGGGAAGCCTGTAAAGATAAAAATGTTAAGAGTTTTTAGTGTTTCAAACTTATTACAAACTTATTGTGTTTCAAACTTACTATAAGTGTTTCAAACTTACTATAAGTGTTTCAAACTTACTCAAACTTACTATAAGTGTTTTAAGCTTACTATAAGTGTTTCAAACTTATTATAAGTGTTTCAAACTTATTATAAGTGTTTCAAACTTACTATAAGTGTGTCAAACTTACTATAAGTGTTTCAAACTTACTATAAGTGTTTCAAACTTACTATAAGTTTTTCAAACTTATTGTAAGTGTTTCAAACTTATCATAAGTGTTTCAAACTTATCGTAAGTGTTTCAAACTTATCATAAGTGTTTCAAACTTATCGTAAGTGTTTCAAACTTATCATAAGTGTTTCAAACTTATTGTAAGTGTTTCAAACTTATCATAAGTGTTTCAAACTTATTGTAAGTGTTTCAAACTTATCATAAGTGTTTCAAACTTATCATAAGTGTTTCAAACTTATCATAAGTGTTTCAAACTTACTATAAGTGTTTCAAACTTACTATAAGTTTTTCAAACTTACTATATACGTTTTTCAAACTTACTATAAGTGTTTCAAACTTACTATAAGTGTTTCAAACTTACTATACATGTAAGTGTTTCAAACTTACTACAAATGTATAAGTGTTTCAAACTTACTATAAGTGTTTCAAACTTACTATAAGTGTTTTAAACTTACTATAAGTGTTTCAAACTTACTATACATGTAAGTGTTTCAAACTTACTACAAATGTATAAGTGTTTCAAACTTACTATAAGTGTTTCAAACTTACTATACATTGTAAGTGTTTCAAACTTACTATAAGTGTTTCAAACTTACTATAAGTGTTTCAAACTTTGCTTCAGTTTTATGTAAATCTCTGGTCCATATAAAACAATAATGTATTGTGGGTTTCCAGACAGATTTTGAATGTCGTACGTACCCCATCCTAGCAGGTAGTACCAGAGGAGGGATCCCTTCTCGGAGAAAACGGCCACCACGATGAGGGTGTGAAGGTAGATGCCCTCACACAACATCCAGAAGTAGTTACACCCCAGGGCATACTGAGTCAGCACATGGAGCACACGGCAAGATACCTGCAGAGACAATCAACAGGTGTTACACAATCAACAGTTCATCCAAAACCTAAACCTAAACCTGATCTAAACCCCTCACACAGCATCCAGAAGTAGTTACACCCCAGGGCATACTGAGTCAGCACATGGAGCACACGGCAAGACACCTGGAGAGGCAATCAACAGGTGTTACACAATCAACGAGTTCATCCAAAACCTAACCTAACTCTGTTCATCCAAAACCTACTCTAAACCTGATCTAAACCCCTCAC